AGAGCATTTATGTAATGATTTGTTTTTATTTTTTATATCTTCACTGACGTCCGTGTGCAATTGTTGCCCTCAGGTGATCCTCATATGTAACTACAACTTCCTCTATTTTTGGAGTTATTTTGATAACTGCTTTTAGAATATATTAGCCGAAAGACTCGGAAAATGTAAACGTTACCGTGTTGTAGACAAATCTTAATCGGTGACCTGAATGAAGACCTTAACAACATCGCGTATGCAGTTACACCCTTTAGCCACAAGAGGGCACTAGACAGCAATGAATATGCTCGTGAGGAGATGAAAGTAAAGACATATTGTAATATTTTTATACACTAAAAGTCAGGCATAAAGGATGAAAATACTTTTTTTTAAACAAATATCAACGTATAAGACGTCATTCTGGAAAAAAATTCATTGGTTTATTGGGTTTTAATGTAGCTTTCAGGTGTCATTTCAAGCCCGTTTTTAATTGCAGTCTCTTTCAAATGACTTTGTAATTGTTATGGCATGCAAATTGTGGGTGCGTGTGAGTTTGTGATGGGAGTTAAAGCAGTCTAAAAATTTCAGACGAGGGATATCCTAGCAGTTGTCAGCGTTGCAACAGAAAATGTGACACTATGTCCCGCCTTTATGAACGATATGGGGGGCGTTCGCTGCTGCTCGTGGATTCTGGCAATGTAATAAAAAGTGTACAGACACAGTTTCAGTCGATGGCTTTATTCCTGCTGGTGTTGATAGTTTCAGTAGGCGAAGCCTACACAATAAAGACAGACTGATAAACATAAACACACACTCTTGATACACGGTCATTCATACAGTTCTCAATTAGACAGAAGGTAGTGTCTGGGGAACGTAGAAAATACTGTTTGGTCAGTTTCAATGCCGTTTGCCATCACATGGCAGTGTAAGTCTGAATTTTATTTAATGGATTTAATGTTGCATATTCAAAAATGTGCAGTTTGTAATAAAACAGTTATAACTGCTATTCGGGAGCACTCAAGTCAGTTGGTCGATATATTTGTCATGTTATTTATAAGATTTTTATTGACTGCTGCAGTGATTCCTCACACCACTGACCCACTTTAACATTTACGATCACTCCATGTTCCACACTGAAGGATATTTAATCGGATGCTCTCAAACTTTATAGTTATACTGAAATATGCTTTAATAAGCTTATATCATTACATTTGATTCCCCACTTTGGGTAACAGCTGAGGTCTTGATGTCTAATGATTAAACCGGGTTTCTATTTCAGGGCTGGGGAACAAAAACGTGAGATTCTGGACTGAGGCACGTGTCGGTTGCCAGATAGACACAATGACCCTTGCAGATGGTACAAATATCTTATTGCCGTGCACAACAATTTCTGGGAATATTTTACCTGAGAATATGACTTAAAGTGTCAGCTGGCCCCTTGATTACCCCCCTCTGTGTTACACTCTCTAAGTGTGTGGCCCTTTAATCTGCCACCAGTTTCCGGAGCCGCTGCACCACATCCTCCGCGCTCACCCAAGGCACCGTGACAGCCTTGAACTCCCCTGGCTGGGCTTCGTGGGTCTCGGTGATCAGCCGGTGCATGGGGAAGTCCCTCCGCGGGAAGGCCACGTCGCGGGGACCGAGGGAGAGCGCGGGGCAGAAGTCATTAGCTCCGTCCCCGACGTAGAAGATTCTCTGGTACGGGCGGCCCCGCTCCTGCGTCCTGCGGGCCACGTAGTCCTTGACGATCACCTGCTTGCACATGTTGTCTGGGCACCGGGGGCAGTCGTGAGAGTGGAAGGGCCGCAGCACCAGCCGCCCGTCCTTGTTGAAGGTCGCGGGGTTGGAAAAGATCCGGTGGAACAGCTGGCGGGCCCCGACGCGCCGGAGCCAGCACTCTATGAAGTAAGTGTTGGCGTCGGACACCAGTATCACCTCAAAGTCCTTCGCGGGCCGGTTGCGGAGGAACTGGAAGAGGGTGAGCATGCCGGGTGTGGCCGGTATCTTCTCCATGACGCTGCGTATGTCGCTCTCGGTGACCCCCTGCTCCGCCAGGTAGGCCAGCACCCGCTGCATGTATTCGTTGTAGCGGCCGGGCTGATAAGTGTCCGTCAGCCACCCGGGGAGGTGCTGACCCGGGACGGCCTGCACGACCATGTCATCGCTGGTTTCATCCACGATGGTCTCGTCGAAGTCAAAGAAGATCAGGAAGCGCTTGTCAGGGGAGATGTGAGCTGGGTGGGAGGCCATGATCTCTGAGCGCCTGGGTCTCTGGGGTTCCTCCTCGCCTGGGGGATGGGGTGGGACATAACAGCAGTTGAAGATTGAATCCCCCATGATTTACTACGCCACAACTTTTAATATTGCCAAGTGGCATCAAATCTCCACCCCCGCTCTTCTGCTCTCCAGCATCCCACGCAATGGGCCGCGGTGAGATGGAGGTTGACCTTCTGGGAAACATCAATGCAATAAAGGAGGGTGTGGGGGTTTGGGTGGAGGCAAAGAAGTCAAATATAGATTTCATAGCAATACTATAATTTCAATGAAAAGGCACAAAAAAAACTATAAACATAATATAAAGCAGCCAACCAGCAACTGTGTCAGACAAGAGGCGGCAGCAAATTATGGATTTGTGGAGGGGGGGGGGGGTGTGTCAAGTAATGTGTAGAAGAGCAAAAACAAGGTAAGACTCACTTATGCAGCAAGCAAAGCGATAAGCTACAGATTATATATCCGGGCAGGTCAGCCCTATTCAACTTTTTCACAGGACGTGTGCTTACCTTGGATTTTCCCGGATGTCTACAGTGGATGTCCAGATCCAACCAGTTGACTTCAAACTGTAGCTGGTTTGTTCCTTTATGGGAAGAAAAATACAATGAATGCTGAATCAGTGGAAACGCAGTACGGGACAAACTTAAAAGGCAGACAAATGCCGAAAAAAGGTCAGAGAGCTCATAAAGCACACATAAAAAAAACAAAACAACTATTAATAGGGATTTTAGACTGTTCTTTAAATAATAATAATAATAAAAGCTTACTGATTAGTAAGAAAAGCCATGGCTACTTATCAAGCTGCTAATCTAGAAGGGTTTTGTTTTACATAACAGCAGCACAAACATCATGCAGTCAAGGCGATGTGCGCTGGATTGAGGTTTAAAATACTACTACTACTACTAATAATAATAATAATAATAACAGATGAGTCACCGGCTCTGGTTCCGATCCCCGGTGTCAGTCAGCTCCGATCCGGTCTCATAGAGGAGAGGTAGAGTTCCGCCGGTCGGCCGGTGGCTCGCGCACTTTTATGTGCCACTCAAACCCACCGGAGCCGCTCTGAACGTGACCGCGCCTCCGAGTCCGCCCATTTAATAGCAGCCTATTGCGCGCGTTCACGATATAAAAAGGTGGAGGGGGGAGGGGATTGTGGGAGTAGGGGGAGGGAGGAAGGAAGAAGAAAAACCCATCGAGAGTAAATAGTCCGTTCCTTGAATATAACCATAGAAGAAATGTGCGCCAGTCTCGTAAATGTAGCCCATTAGTATTTATACATGGCTCCAAACGTGGCATAGCCACATCCACACAATGGAGCATTTACCGAAAAAAACAGAAAAGTTGTGGAGAATAAGCACTTCTGGTAGCAGTGGGAGGTCAATGGGACAAGGTCAAGCTCTCAAGTTTTCCCATTTATATGTCTTTGTGTAATTCCAATTTGGAGTGGAGAATCAGGGATAACATCTGAATAACCCCATCTCATCTGAATTTGCTAAAGTAACTCAGCCACATTCACTTAAAACAGAACAGTTTTAATGCTCTCTCATGTTCTTACAAAGAGAACAAGCACCTTCCCTCATCCAGGATGATCTGGATTTCCGGCCAATAAGTACTCTGTTGCAAAGGCGGCACAGGGAACGGGGGCAAAGTACCACATGCGAGACATTTGTGAGGATGACTGGAACGAAATCATTTCACATCTGAGAGCAGTGTTGTGTTTTCGTTTATTAACTACAGGGAAACATTAGCATCGCAGCAAGGGAGTTTGTGTTGCCTGCTTGTTTCTCCACGAGACAGCAGTCTAGATAAAAACCCTGCAAGTATACTGATTAATGAACCGCACTGCAAGTTTCAGAGTGGTGCACACTTGCCTACAAAAACATGGCATGAAGCCCTCCTCTCTTTATCTGCCTGCTGACAGACGGAGGGGGGGCCTCCTCCCTCCTCAACACCGCAAGGCGTAATGACTAACAGCTGGGGAGGCCGACTATTTTGAAGCCCAAATGGGAATGGAGATGTACAGACGGTGTGTTATTATCTCCCCTGCTCATGGAGTGAGCCTTGGTACCTGACCACCCACTCACCAACAGTGAGTCACTCACACTTTTCTCTACCCATCAGCCCGCTCTGCTACCTTATAGGATTATGTGACTCATTGGTGCACCACTTAAAACCTCCTATGGTGATGGAGGATACACAGCATTTTAGGAGGTATTCTAGCAACAATAAATGCCTTAATGTGACATCAGTGGAGGTACACGCTGTTAATGCATGAATAAACCTGGCTGAGATGCAACAAGAGATATCCAAGAAGTCGATTTTAAACACTCTTGTAATCTATGTAAGTAGTTATATGGCCTCAAGGTGCATTTGCATATCTAAGAGGTACAATGTGGGTACTTGACTGTCAAGATCACTGCCCTCAAATACAATAAAGCCTGCTGTGATTTTAAAGTGAACAGGAAGTGCTCACAAAGAAGAGGATCTAAAACTTCTCTTGTCAAATAAATGCTCAGCAAAGCAAAGCTGTTGTTGAACCCTGAGGGTCATGTGTAGCCCGCAGCCATTGTTAGGTAACATGTTGTGCCAAGAACCCAGTGAACCTAAAAATAGTAGAGTAAGAGCCGCAGTGGCAGCAAGCTACACTTTTCAGGAAAGTAAGGTATGAAAGTTAAACAGACCTGCTGCATTTCATAACCATCTGCATCCAGCAAAGCAAAACAAACAAACTCAGATGTAATAATCATGGCTACTTGTTTTTACTTTTAAAGTTAGCAGTCAGTTAAATGTACATTATCAAAAAAGGCCCAACTTTTTTCCCCCCCCAACTTCTCCTCAATCCCCAGATAACATACAAAAAAAAAAGAAAAAAAAAAAGACGACAAACCAGGACATAAAGCTGCACATTTTGTACCAGATACAATAATAAAATACGCAATGCTACATTAAGTGGTTAAAAATACAAAGGGGAAAAGTATATTGATTTTTTAAAACATCTTTAAAGAATATACAATGTTATTTTTCCTTAACTACCCAAGAAATTTAGTAGAAAGTGCATTCTATATAACAAAGAAAGGAGGAGGAGAATCATTCTGCAAACCGAGAAAACAAGACATGACACAGAAAAGGGGGAAAACTCCATGAACTGATAAAAACAAAGAAGTGCGTGGAGGGGCTAGTGTAAAGTCGCCAAAGCAGGAGGAACATCCCTTTCACGTTAAAGGGAGCCCATACTGGAGAAAACAAAAAGTGTATTTCAATGATTTGATTTGAGCAGACACTGAAAGAAAATGTTCTTTATTTTGCCATGGTCCAATTCACACTACCCACCTCCACCTGGGATTCTCCTCCTTTCCTTGCCTAAAAAACATCCACTCAAAGTAATCACCTCCATCTCCGCCCTTTCCCGTGCAGCCACAACTGCTCTCTGTTCCACAATGCATTGTCAGTCCCACCCCTCCCTCCCTTCCCTGCGCCTCACCCACGCAGCAGTAAAGTGCAGAGAATACACACAAGTGAAAAGGCTTTTTTAAAAAAGAAAAAAAAAAGACAAAAATCCATACTGCAAAATGCTGAATCACAGCAGTGAACCAGAGGGGACAGGATGATAAGCAAATAATGCAGCAGTATTAAGACCCACAGAAATGGCAGGATAATTGCAGGTCTCAAATCCAAAAAGAGACTAAACAATGGAGCTTAACCACTTCAGACTGAACACCATTAGAATGACACAAAGAGGGTCGTGGTAGATTTACTGCTATTGTTCAGGTCAGGTATCCCAAAATAGGCGTACATTGGGGCACACTGTGTAAAAGCAGCTTTTGGTACAAGAGCACTGGGGACAATCAGACAGACACAGACTGCATGCACTCATACACACTTGCACACAGACACACTCTAAACACACGATCAGACTGGATGAAGGGGAAAACCAAGCAATCCAAAATTCATTCCAACGCAAGCCAACCTTTTTCTTCTTTTACACAAGTAACATTCACACTGTTGGCTATTACATTAATAAATGTAATTTCTTTAGCTGATTTGATCAAACATATGCTTATCTATACAAGAATTCCAAGTATTAGAAGTTGTATGACCACTGCTTCTTATCCTGTCATTTCCTATCATGTGCTAATAACAGTATATCTACATGACAGAAGCATTCATTAGCTTAAAACTGAGCAGAAGACATTAAAATTAAATAATAAAAAAAAACCCCAAACAAAAAAAACAAACAAAACAAAAAAAAAACAAAAAAAAAACATACATATGAGTTATCGGCCATCATTCTGCGTAGGCAACTTTCAGCAACTTTAGACATGCATTTGCCTGTGTGGATCAAAGTATGTCAGTACGATCAAAGTACAAAAGAAAATAAAAAAGTAACGCCACCCCACACCAAACCGTGGAATATAGGCTGAGAGGAATATGCATAATTTCCCATTAAGAACTTTGATGAGTAAAGGTCCCAGTTGTGTATACTGTGTGTGTGTGTCAATTGACCTTTAACATGATAACCCGTATCATCGACAGCAGCGAAGGGAGGTGGGATATATCCTGATGGGGCCACGTGGTTGGCCCCTCACAGTGGCAGTACTCGACAGTCATCCGTTATCTAAAAGCTTCTGTTGGCCAACAGTATTGAAAGCTGAGGCAGCACTGATTAAAGTAAATAAATCAGTGACCATGTGGTCTTTTGTGTGTATGCGTGTGCTTGAAAAAGTGTGAGGAGTGAGTGTGTGCGCGCCTAGGCAATGTCCTGCATAACTAGAGTTGTCTTGATCGCAAAATATCTAGTCAAACCTTGGATGCGCAGTAGAAAAGCTCAACTGGCAAGACATGTTCTGTATGACACAATACAATGTTATTATGTAGTTCATACTTCTGAAAATTAAGAAAAAAGCAAAAACAAAAGAAACATTTCATGTACTGGAATGGAAAGCACCATTTTATCATGTAATGAATCTCAGACCAAGTCCAGATTCAATTAACCACTTACAAAATCTTTTGACCAAATGTCCTTTTACAAAGTTCCTCCCCCCTTCCTTACTGTAACCTATGGCACTGCATCTTGCACAACTTCTGTTGCCCCTCTGACAGAAAGGCCAGGACTTGACCTTAAGACAGAGAAAGGCTCAGGTAGAACCAGTTACAACATTCATTAAACGTTTCTGTGGGGCCCCAAGGCTCTGCAGTACAACTAGGAGGACAGGTGCAGTATTGCTATGGGGAGGACCTGCACAGAAAGCTCAAGCCCTGACCAATGTGCAACCCTATGGTCAAGTTGACATAAGGAGAAATCAGTGACACTGATCTTTTGATCAGTGAAGCCCAGGTAATACATGAGACGACTTCCATCAGCAGCTTTTGATGAAAATAATGTACAGACTGAGAACTTGCACTAAAATTGTTTTCTGTAGAAGAAATTGTTGAAGAAAATATTTGTCAGTTGAGCAGGATATTAAAGTAGAGGTGTTACATGATGTGTACACTGAGGGTACATAAGTCTGTATCTTCAGAACACACAGGGGTGTGTAAAGTTTAGTTTGAGTTACATGAATCTGTTCGACAGGAGCACCTTTGCTTTATGTCCACACAGAAAGAGCTTCAACCACATTTTTCATGATCCATCTCATCCTTTTCTAATAGGAAAAAGATAAGTACTCATAACAGTTAGCACAACTGTGTAATGCATTGTGTTTTACTTGCACTATATACACAAATGTTTTAAACAAAAGCACGTAATTACAGTGCTGTTTATTGGACTCTGAGCACTTATAAAACACACATTTGATTTCAGTGCCTGAAGTCTCCTGTGTAGACACATACTGAGTAATGGTGCTGGTCACGCTACGCCTTCTCTGTAGACATGGCTTTGGGGGCCTTGAAACTAAAAAACTGAGGCAGGACTATGAGAAGACGTGGAACAAGGCGCGGTTTGGTGCTGGCCTACAGACCAGCAGCACAGTTCAGTGGTGCTGCGGGGCTCCGGGGCCCTTATCGGGAGGGGCCATGTGGTGCAGGTAGCTGCTGTCTTCGTGCCCACAGTGGTTTAGGGGCTCACTCTTAAAAAGAGCTGGAGGTGGGGGGAGGTGGGAGACAGGGGGCACTGCTAGGTGGTGGTGGGGGTGAGGTTGGGCATGTTGGGGTGTGCTTGAGAGGTGCTGCTGGGTTGATGAGGGGTGGGGATGATGGTGAGAGGGCGCTGAGTGGAGTGGCACATGGGAAAATGTGTGCCCCACAGTGCCTTGAGGAGGAATAGACCCTCCTGTTGGGTTGAGGCCCATGGTTGCTGAGGTGGTGGCCAGGGTGGCAGTTGAGGGCCCAGGGCCAGAGGTTGAGGAAGATGAGGAGAAGGTGTTGGAAAAGATCCGGACAGGCACAGGTGGGCCGCTAGTCTGCAGAACAACGGGGCTGGTGACCCGGAAACACTTCTCTTTGTGTGCTTTGAGCATGTTGGAGAAGCGGAAGCGTTGGCCGCACACCTCGCAGGGATAGGGCTTCTCGCCTGTGTGGGTGCGGCGGTGGCGTTTCATGTTGGGTCGGCTGGTGAAGCTCTTCCCACAGATCTCACAAATGAAAGGCTTCTCCCCTGCATAGATTCATAAAAAAACAACAACACTGAATGAGAAAAAAAAAAAAAAGAACAGTTTTTACCAATTAACAAGAAGAATGGAGCACAGGGGAAAAATGCATTACAATAAAATCATTCGGTGTCAAAAGTGAGGGTTAGAAAGTGTTAAATATTCAACTAAGTTAACTGTCCTCCCCCCTCCCCTTTAACCATTTCCCTCTGCAGAGAGCAACAGTTCTCTTTTAAATATGTAAATAAGTTTTTGCTGTCAACCCACCCACTCCGCAGGAAGCTATTACAATTCACACTTTGAGCAGAGGAGATGTGAAAGTGAACAACAGCAGCTCCGTTGGATTGTCGCTCTCATTAACCTCCCTCCATGGAGCCACTGAATGTGCCTGCTACCACCCACACAGCCATCTATTAACAGGCTGCTGAAGGGCTCTCTAAATGCCTTATTCTTGCATGTTATGTGTGAAGCTCCTCCACACTAAATGAATATCAAAAGGTGACAGTTAATGTGCTAGTCTTCTGTAACTGTTACCTTACATTCACTCATGAGAATTCACATGGAAAAAAAAAATCTGTATGCAGTGAACCAAACTTTGGGTGTTGAAAGTGTATGCTTCCTATTACAGAGCATGACTGGGTGTGTCTCCTCCTGGATGAGGTTAAATTGGTTGGTAGCAGCAGGGAGAGGAGAGGGTAGCATAATTACACATCACAAATAGAACTGTGAGAGCCTATGGAGTGCAGTGTGTCCACCCACGACAGGCACGGCTGGTGAAAAACAGTGAAGGACATACAAGCATCACTGCTTAGCAGTGGTCTTAGAAATAGCAATGCAGCAGAGACAGAAAATCAAAGGGGTGTAATACAGCATGTGTTTGGGTAGTCATTATAAGCCACAGGATATGCAAGGCTCCTCTTTGATGTGAACATCCCTCTCATTAAAAATTCTGGGCAAAGTCTCCTGCTCTTACCACTATAATGTTCCTGTTGGCAACTCCCCATCTGATTCTTTTTTTAGGATGAGTATGGTGACTGGGTGGCTGGTAAAGCAGGCCAATGAAGGATGGTAAATGCTTGATAAACTTTAGATTTATAAAGTAAAATAAATCTATAGTCATTTGAGACTTTTGTTATATTTCAATTAGAGTACAAAGTGCTGTAACCGTCAAGCAAAGGACAAAAAGATTTAGGAAACAACTGGTCTGTATGAAATGTAATTTTCCCCTCAACAGCTGGGCCAACTTGGTCTTTGTAATTTGCTTCTGCACGACTGCATTTAAATAGAAGCTGGGAGGAAACTATGCAAACATGGAAAACAAAAGGGCAAGACATTTGTCGACTAAAGTAGCAAGTATCTGCTGAGTAGTCATTTCTTTGTTTTAGTTGACTGCAAAAAAAGAAATGTAAATTAAAAAAAAGAAAAGAAAAAAAAGGGAGTTTTATTTTTATATAGACTACGATCAATGCCCAAAAAAAAATACTGTTTACAGATATCAGATCTGAGGGTTGTGTGTAACCAGTTAGTGACATTATTTACTGAAGAATCCACAGTGGAGACATTACATTATTTGAAACTGGAATCTCCTGCTGTGGAGAAACTACAACTAGGGTACTATATTTGAGTGCAGCCTCGTTCAGTTTCTACAAACAAAGTGATGAGTTTTCTATAAAGCTTCCTGATTTCATAGAAATGCCTCACCACTTAAAAAGGGCTCTGAAACTAGAATTGGTTTCCTGCATTTAAAAAGCAGGTTAATACTGACACTCATATTTTTGCAGAAAGTCCATAGGTTTCAGCCATATGGATTATCCCAAAGGACACTGGCCTGATTGGCATGTGTGATTTTCCCAGAACACTTATGGAACTTAAAAGACCCACACTTGTTTCTCACCTGTGTGTGTCTTCATGTGCTCATCAAAGTACTGTTTCATGTTGAAGTCTTTGCCACACCACTGGCACATGAACTGCTTGTGTCCGATGTGAATGCTCATGTGGGAGCGCAGCTGGTACTTGTACTGGAACCGTTCGTCACAGTTCTACAGCAGAAACAACAGATGCGTTCAGATAACATGTCCACACACACACACACACACACACACACACACACACACACACACACA